TAAGATACTCCCTTGAGGTACACCAGACCTAACAGGTAACATTTGAGAGGAGCAATTTAGAGGAGTGGCTTCAGTAGTAGCCACTCCCACCCATGTGCTTACATGTGATTTGACTGATTTGTAAATAAGATCTCTTCAAAGTAAATAAAAATTACTATTTTGTTTTATATACTTTTTAGAAAATAAATGGAACCTCCACCAAGCTCAGCAGTAGTTGTACCTCATGGCTGGCAGAGGCTAGTGGAAAAGGGACTTGTCAATACATTAGGTATACGAAATTATTTTATTTTTATTGATATTTAATTTTTATTATATACCGTACTAACGGGTTATTAAGCGTCCTTCATATTACATTTTGTGATACATACTGATGTCTTTATGCTACATCTGTATTTAGAAAGTTTGAGCTGTTTCTGACAAAAATTTACAAGTTATGACCATTTTTTAAAATGGGCCAATTTTTGAAAAAAGCAAAGGCCCATGGATTTAAAAAAATAGCTTTGAAATCACCAAACACTTTTATTACATTTTCTGATACATATTGATGTCTTTATTGGCCTCGCCTACGCAAGGTATAGGTAGTTGTTGTGTGTGTCTGTCATTCGGTATTTCTAAACATTAAGTGTTAAATATTAATTAATATTTATATTATTATACAGAGTCCCAGTAGTCATGATACCCCAGTCACTGGTGGAGTAGCAGATGAAGTGTTTGATGACAGTGGAGTGAGTAGTATCAGTGGTAGCAGTACTGGAGGAGGAGGGAATACTAGCAGCTGTCATTCAAGAGATGAGTCAACACCCGATACTACTAATGCTCATGGCGGTAGTTGCTGGTCACCCTCAAGGAGAAACATTGGTCTTAATGATTCTATTAGTGAGAAGTGGGCTCAAGCTAGCAGCAACTGCTCAGATGCCAAAAAATATCTTGAGATGATTTGTAGAAATTTATCCGACAAACTGGCACAATTTGATCTAAGGAAGGAACAAGAACTGAGACAGGTTTTCCTTGATCTTGCTGCTGGACAAATGGAGAAAAATGAGAATGTGAGTTTTTAATATTAAGAACTGTACATGATCCTCCATAGTAAATTTTCTTGTATTATAGTTTATATTATATTTTATTTATTGTAGCTTCAAGGTAAATGGTGTGCAATGAAGTGTTTATTGGGCACACCAATCAAGCCATCACTTAGAGCAATACAGTATGTATCTAATAATAACACAACAACAACAACAACAACAGGAGGAGGAGGAAGAGGTGACAACAACTGAAGGTAAGAGAGAGAGAGAGAGAGAGAGAGTCAAGAGGACATAATGTACTTATCTTTTTGTTTTAGATCATTCTCCTTCAAGAAATGATTTATCAAATTATGAAAGACTATTATAAATATCATAATTTCTATTTAATATTTTTAAGTCAAAATGTATGGTTTTATGATTTATAACAAAAATTTTAAGTGACAAAATTGTAGTGATAAGTGATAGTGTGTCTTCTACTACCTATAAATAACTTATGAAAGTAAAGCTAATGTAAATGTATTATGTAGCTTAAATTATTTCTTAGAGTGAGGTTTATTGCCAGCTGATCTCAAGAAAAAGGAGGAGAATCGTAAGTGATAGTGTGTACCTTGTGCTGGGTCTTTTATAAGCTATTTATAATGAATTAATGATTGCATGTAATCATAAAGGCAATGTACCTTATTTAAGATATTTCCTACTAGCTCTATCTGATAAAAGAAATTTATTTACATCAGATTTTGCTTTTCCAAGCTGATCAGGATAGTCTTCACAAACTTGCAAAATATTTCTCCAGGTCACATCATTATTGGAGTCTAGCCATCTCTTGAATACTTGAATGAGATTATTAGTAGTTGATTGTGGATTAAGTAACAGGTCATACACTTCAACCTCCAGTGCAATCCCAATAATCATATAATAAGTATCAGAACATTGAAATAGCCTAATAAGATCGCTCATTTGTGGCTTCTTTTCCAACAGGAGATCTGCATATACATGATGTAATGAAACATAATTAATTATTATGACATGATTGAAAACATCTTGTGTGAAAAGTTGCTGTAGACATAATACCTGCATTATGAGACAATGAGCTTTCCTGTTCAATAGTTGTTTCTTCAGTAGTGTCATTATTACGAGAGATCTTAAACCTTTTACTTCTTGATGAACGATCATGATCTTCATTTTCTTTCCTTTTCCTAACCTCATCTGCAGAGATAAAAATAGCAGATCTGAATAAATAATAGAATCATGGTTTAATTACTATGAGAGGGTTGTCCATTTTTTATTTTGTGCAGTTTATTTCCAGTTAATTTTTTACCATATCCTTTATTAAGAGGAGAGGGAAGAGAATCATCATCATCATCATCATCAGTCAAAAGTCTTTGTTTTTTGTTTGTTAAAACAGATTCAGAGGTTTCATCTTCACTGTGTCTTTCAAGTCCCAATACACTACTAATATTGCTTGAAGATTGTGTATCGTCATTTGTTTCAGATAGCTCTGATAATTTTAATCTTTCATTTACTGACATTTCTCCTATTTGATCGAACAATTAAATGCTGTAATAATTAATTGTGACATATATACCTTGCATATCTTGTGATTGCCTTCCTCTTAAAGCATTGTCATCATCAGTATGTACTCTCTTAAGTTTTGTTTGTTTCTTGCCTAACAAAATATTGTAACATTACCTATAAATTCATAATTCATACCTTTAGGAACTGGTTTACCTAATTCCTTACAAATATTAGCAGCAATGTTTTTTAATCTCATGTGATCTCTTTGATACAACACATTACAAACAGTGGTAAGATATTCAGCAGCTTCAACTGTAGAATTAGATATTATATGTTTATAAATGTAGCTAGTGATCCTGTTAGCTTTGTCAAAGTCAGATACACCAAGAAGTGAGGCAAGGTCATTATTTAAAGATGTAGGTATTAACGATTTAGTACAAAAATCAACAGCAACACGTGTAACATCTGATGAAATTGCATCAGTAATATCAGCTAAGTGGCTTTGAAAGATACTTTTTGGAAGAACTGCATGTGAATATCATTTATTAATATAAACAAGAATGATAAAACTCACCTTCATTTTTTGTAGCAGCTACATTACCAGATGGTTGGCTTTTGTTAGATTTTTGAGCTCCAGTATTCAGATCAACAACCTATAACCAAATAATGTAAACAAACAATAAACTTCTTAATTACCTTTTTAGACCAGTACAAATGTTTCTCACCAAGTTGCATTATATTACCATTAGTACACTTAGCTCCTTCTGAACAATACTCTATCACAGCAGGATGAGGTACTCCAGTGCATGTACATGGTACTCCAAACATATGCTTTGACTTGTAAGTGTAATGGAGTGATTGTGTCACTGTGACTAGTCCTTTGTCCAATGATGATAATATCTTTTCACAAAGATCATTTAGTGAGGGATTCATTTGTTGCTGAACCCACACTTCAAGATAAGTAGCATGACTAATTAAGGTAACAGAATCATAGTATTGACCAACTTGAAAGGTAATCCTGTTACGATATTGATCATTACCAGTTAACTTCCATTCCAATACTTGATCTGTCTGCTGATCAAGAAGATACACTACTAGACAGCAGAATACACCAACAGGAGTATACCCACACTCAAAACATATCAATAAAGGAGCTGGACTAACTGACCCATCTCTCTCCTCTCTTTCCACACCTGCTGGTTTCAGAGCACAAGGCATAAAGTAGTAATTGACAGTTTTTTGATCAACTTTAGTTTTCATAGGACCAGCTACAATATAAAGATGCTTCAGTAGTGCTACTAGTCTCTTTGTATTGAGAGGATTGCCTTTCTCTTGTAATGCAATTTTATCTAGTTGTGACTCTGAAAAGCGTCCATTTTTATGAAACTCTTTCCTCACAGCAGCACTTTTTAACTGTTCAAAAGTGAAGCATGTTGTGATCAGATTAGTGATACGATCAAACACCAGTTGAAGATCAGTGATAATAATATCCTCCAGACCTGCTACATTAGGATAATGCATGATGATACCCACTCTGTGATGTAAATACCATAAAACATTTTTAAACTCTTCTGTATCCTTGATACCACACTCTTGAGCTAATTGAAAACAAGTACGATAATTGAAAAGCTTCCTTTTACTTTTTCTTAATCTTAAACTTAGAGCACACCAAGATGCTGGTATTTTTAATTCCTCGAATTTTTTTGTTATAGCCTCATGAAGTAGAGAACGAAGGTGTTCTACTTCTTTTTCATCCTTTGTTGTGTCAAGTGGAAAAATGACTTGCTCTGATTGAGAGAACTGTATAAGATCAGAGTCAAACAAGTGAGAACTGTTTTCTATCGTGGTTCTCAGTTGCTGGTTGACTTCACTCACTTTATTCTCATCCACTTGGTCTCTGTGTGTAGCAATAAGAAAAGCAACAGGTTCTGACTTATCTTCAATAGGTATTTCATCAAAACTCCATCCAATAGTGTTCTGTCTTAAACAAGCTATGCTTGCTAGTGAACGGAATATCACTTCTTCATGTGTCAATGAGGTTTCATAAGGTTTAGAATCACCAGAAGAGGTTCGATAGATTATTTCATAGCGACTCCTTAAATCTTCAGTTAGTTTGAATACCAGTAGATTGATAGCTGGGCCAGTTATAAGAGCTGGTAATATTTCATGAAACTCAGGTTGTCCTCCAGTATCAATGATGTGTAACATTGTGTGACTGTCATCATTTCCTTCTTCTAACTTCTTCTCATATTCTTCTCTTTTTCTAACAGGTATCTTCATTACATAATCTGAAAATCCTTTTTTTACTGAACTGCTGCAATCTTGCACATCGGTATTAGTTGTGGTTTCTTCCTCCTCACAATTGACAGGTGTTCTGCATGAATCAGCTATATTCTTCTGCTTCATAATTGAGCTCTCTTTATTATAACTTGAGGCATCAATTACTTCAGAGTGCATGCACCTAGGTGACGACATAACACTTGTATCATCACATTGATAAGATAGGTCGCTTTCTTTGGGTGATCTTGATTTGTTTCCAAATGATAGAGCTTCTCGTTCTTCAAATGATAAAGTAGACTGGTGAGGTGCAGTAGGTCCAATACTTTCATCTGATGTATTGTTTGCTGGTAATAGTTTCTTACTGATCAGTATAGCTTCTTCATCAAGTTCCTGTTCTTTCCATTCTGTAGTCACTACTGCATTGTGCTGTGATAGTTTTCGAAATGAATTAACTTGTACAGCTGCATCAATTACACCAGTACTAAGAGAAGGACCTGTATCAAGAGATTGATTGAGGAGCCTCTTCTTTAATGTACTCTTACCAGCACCAGGAGGACCAGTCAATATACACTTAACAACACGTAATAATGCTATACCACTGGATTGATAAATATAAAGATCTTTAATCTCCTCAACGCTACAACCTTTAACTTCAACAAGATAATTGACAATGTCCAAATGACTTTTAGAAAGAGGTCTATGACTAATTGCTGAATGTAATGGCCTTTTATTTTTATTGTTTTCAGCTTCAATAGTATTACATTGCAAATGATTAGTCAGAAATTTAACAATTTCAAAAGAACCCTCTTGACATGCATAATGTAATGGTGTATTGCAATCCTTCCCTTTAGCATTAACATCACAGTGTTTGTCAATCACAAGATGACGTACAATGTTTACATTTTTAGATTGACATGCTACGTGTAGTGGTCTGTCATTATATTCGTTTTCAGCTTCAATATTACATTGTGGATGATTAGTCAGAAATTTAACAATTTCAAAATGACCCTTTTCACATGCAAAAAGTAATGGTGTATAGCCAAACCTCCCTTTAGCATTAACATCACAGTGTTTGTCAATGACAAGATGATGTACAATGTTTACATTACCAGATTCACATGCTTTGTGTAGTGGTTTGTCACTAGAAAACCTTTCAGCTTCAATATTACATTGTGGATGATTAGTCAAAATTTTAACAATTTCAAAATGACCATTTTCACATGCACAGTGTAATGGTGTATAGGCACTCCAATCTTTAGCATTAACATCACAGTGTTTGTCAATCACAAGATGACGTACAATGTCTACATTTCCAGATGCACATGCTATGTGTAGTGGTCTGTCACTAGAATCCATTTTAGCTTCAATATTACATTCTGGATGATTAGTCAGAATTTTAACAATTTCAAAATGACCTTTCTTACATGCATCATGTAATGGTGTACAGCCATTCCTCCTTCTAGCTTTAATATTACATTGTGGATGATTAGTCAGAAATTTAACAATTTCAAAATGACCTTCTTGACATGCATAATGTAATGTTGTATAACCATTCATCCCTTTAGCATTAACATCACAGTGCTTGTCAATCACAAGATGCCGCACAATGTCTACATTTCCAGATATACCGCATGCATTAAGTAATGATATCCTATCTTTATAATGATTATTTAATAGATCCATTATATCTGGTTCTGTTAGTTGCTTTGCTGATTCCATACATTTAGATAAACCATCTATACTAACTTTTTTTCCTACTATTGAAACTATTTCCTTGTGTCCTTGACATGCTGCATAATGAAGTGGTTGGTTTCCTTCATTGTCTTCAGCTTCAATGTCACACCGTGGTTTAGATATCAAATATTCTACTATTGACAGTGATCCATTATAGCATGCTTTATGTAATGGAGTGGAACCAGTTCCTTTTTCTCTAACATTAATATCACAGCCAGTAGATTCAATGAAATGCTTCACTATTTCTAAATGTTCTTTATCTGTTGCTGCTAGTAGAGGGTGTGTCTCATTATTACTATTAATGTTACAGTTTGGTTGTCCTGTTAAATACTCTACTACTGGCAAGTGATTATAAATACATGCCATATACAGTGGAGTATTGCCATACTTATCCTCTATATTAATATCATGGTTGCATGATTCAACAAGATACTTGACAATATGTACTTGCCCAAATTCAGCTGCAAAATGAATACTTGTTCTGCTGCAAGTATCTTTTGCATAATTAATTTGAGGAAGAGATGTCAAATACTCTACAATTGATAAGTGACCACAACGACAAGAATAATGCAATGCAGTTGCACCATTACAGTTACTAATATTAACATCCACACCTCTTTCCACCAGACCCTGTACTAATGATAGGTCACCTAATTCAATAGCAGCATCAAGTAACGGAGTTATATCTTTATTTTTAGTTAATTTTTCACAAAGGCAGTTGGGTTGGCTAATAAGATATTTAGCTATTGATACACGACTATATTCAATAGCTCTGTGTAGAGGAGTGTAACCATCACTATCTAATCTGTTTATATCAAAGCCGAAACTAACAATAGTAGTGAAGTATTCTAGATCCCCTGATGTAGCTGCTAAATGAAGTACAGTTGTCATTCCATCACTTAACTGGAAGTATTCATTATCCATAGGAAAGAGTCTTAGGAGGTGTTGAGTGTGTTCATGTTCGTTACACGTGTTCATCATATCTCTGAGTGTAATTTTTATTAATAATAATTGAATAATTTGCCAACTAGCAGCAACATCTATGCATTTAATGATATTATCAATATTGAATGGACCATATTTTGAAATAGCTAGTGTCACTATATCAATATGACCAGCTTTACTAGCATAATACAATGGAGATAAACCAGCATTGTTAGTTAATTCAAATAAGGTATTATCTGTAGCTCGGGAACGTGACAGCAATAATTGAACACACTCTATTATTTCATTAATACAAGCTAAATGAAGTAAAGTATCACCATCATTATTACCAAGATAAAATAAGAAAAATGGGGTGGGCTCAATACTTGGTACAGTCAAAAGACGCTTTAATATTCTTGGTCCGTCAGTATTATTGGTACAACACAAGTGAAACAATGTGTTACCTTCATCGTTAGTAGTAAAAGGAGACGCTCCAGCATCAATCAGACTAATAACACGATCAATATCACCTGAAGAATAAGCAGAGAAGAGATCAGCAACAACAAGCAAAGACGCATCCATCGCATCAATCATAGACATGGTACCATTTCCGGATTCCTTTCATTAATTACTCTAATGTTATATCATATAAAATAATGATTAGGGGTGTGGCTAAGGTTAGCGCTACCTAGCAACTAAATTCAGTAGTCAGTAAAATAAACTGACCTACAAAATTAATGTCCTCCTCCAGAACAAAAGGCAAAGAAGAGAGTTTGAGATCAAAGAAGCCACTGGATAGGAGACGGGAGCAGAAGAAGAAAGGAATGGACGATACCAGCTTAAACAAGAAGGGACCACTACTACTAGTAGTCTAGTACTACTCAGTCAAAATCATCCAAACCCTCCCAACCTCTCAACCCACTAGTATCAAAACCAATTCAACCTCAGAGACACTCTACCACAGAAACCAGGCCCTCTCCTAAACAGCAGCACAGACCCCCACTACTAAACTAAAAGCAGATACCAAACCTCTTTTACCAGAAGCTAGTAGTCTCTCTGACCATAGCTTGTCTTATTCTTCAAAGGATCATAAGTCCTCACCTAAACTCTCTCAATCTACCAAACGCCCAGAGACTCATGTTTCCAAAAACTTAGATCTACATTCCCCCAAATTGCCCAGTTCCTGTTCTTCCAAAAACTCAAACTCTCATTATTCAGAGTCAAGTACTAAAGAGACTCATAGACGAGGGGCCACTGATAGACGTGAAGGGAAAAGAGGTGGGACACAGCCAAACACTGCCAATTTTATGCTAATTATTTCCTGCACATGACACTGTGTAGATTGATCAAGTTATGACATTCCTGTTATTATTAATTTTTAGGAGTTCAGAGTACTTTGTGCTAAGTTTCAGTCTGATTTACCGTCAGAAGAGCCCTTATAGTATCGTCCAACTCAAGGACGTGATACCTCAAGTGGTGCTCTTGTTGCTACTATAAAGACTATCTTCATTCATTGGAGAATAATCTATTAGGATTGGTACACCATCTACAATAAAGGACTGCCAATGATACACAGAGAGAAGGTATGATGTCATACAGATTTGAGTGACATAAAATTAATAGTTATGACCATTTAGAGAAATTGGCCAATTTTTGAAAAAAAGTAAAGGCTATAGCCCATGGATTTTTTCAAAAAATGGCTACAAAATTATCCCAAATTTTTATTTCATTTTTTGATACATACATGTATTAATGTCCTTATACTATGCAGAAAGTTTGCAGTGTTTCTGAGTGCCAACAAATAATTTTTGAGCCATGAGTGGAGAATTGATTGAAATTGGTTCTATGTACATGTTGGATGGTAATTAAAAGACTTCATTATTTATGTATAGTTGTGTTAGTGTTAATTAGTAGCATAGAATCAGTTAAATATTTACAGTTGAGTAAGTGTGAATTTGTATGTTCAAAGTAATTTTATAATTTGTGTAATGTTTTATTAGGCTGTTTTTTGAGTTGTATATAGCTGTATGGCAGCCCTGCCCTATGGTTACCTGAGGCTAGCCTTCCTTTCGTCACTTGTTGGTATTAATGCTTTTTTGTTCTTTGTGTACATGTATATTTAAGCTCTGATTTTTGTAATACCTGGGTGTGTGATTTTTGGCAAGAGATTTCTTTGAACTGAGTCTGATCTGTTACAGAGATATAATTTATTATTACATTTTTGTCAAGCATGATATGTGGGATTAGTATTAATTAGCTTATTGGCTTCTATTTTAATAAATATAATTAGAGATATTTCACCAATAGAATGCTTATCAATGATGATATGTTTCTTGTTAGTAGATACAATGTCTCACTGGTTCCGTCACATTGCAGAGGGAGAACCTTGTGATACTTACCTTAAACTATCATCAGGTGATCTGGCTAGAACCTCTGAGATGATAGAGACACAGCGGAGTACCTTTGACGGGAATGATGCTCTCTGTGTCCAGAACCTTCAATCTATTGCTGACTACACATGTATATTCACTCAGCAGTATTAAGCACTCTCTCTCTCTTACTCTCTCTCCTCTTGTTACATTTAGTGGTGAACCAAACGTTTATTATTAATTTATTATTAATAGGATTTATTGACAAGAGTAGAGAAAGCGGTTGAGAGGTTCTTGTATTGGGTCGAAGAAGTAATGATATATGAAGCAGTTACTTCAGTAAGCACATGCACACCTCATGTGTGTACATGTACATGTACCTTGTGTATAACTGATAAATAATTAGTCAGATATTAATAATAGATTTATGCATAAATACTGTTATGGTATTAAGTGTTAATTATTAATATTTATATTATTATACAGAGTCCCAGTAGTCATGATGTCTTAGTCACTGGTGGAGTAGCAGATGAAGTGTTTGATGACAGTGGAGTGAGTAGTATCAGTGGTAGCAGCACTGGAGGAGGAGGGAATACTAGCAGCTGTCGTTCAAGAGATGAGTCAACACCAGATACTACTAATGTTCATGGCGGTAATTGCTAGTCACCCTCAAGGAGGAACATTGGTCTTGATGATTCTATTAGTGAGAAGTGGGCTCAAGCTATAGCAGCAACTGCTCAGATGCCGAAGAATATCTTGAGATGATTTGTAGAGATTTATCTGACGAACTAGCACAATTTGATCTAAGGAAGGAACAAAAACTGAGATGGGTTTTCCTTGATCTTGCTGCTGGACAAATGGAGTAAAATGAGAAAGTAAATTTTTTTATATTAAGAACTGTACACGATCCTTCATAGTGAATTTTCATGTAAATACAGTTTGTCTCTAATAATAACACAGTAACAACAGCAGGAGGAGGAGGAGGAGACAACAAGTGAAGGTAAGGGAGAGAGAGAATAGTGGATCCTGAGAAGAGAGAGAGAGGACATAATGTATTTATCTTCTTTTTGTTTTAGATTGTTCCTCCATCAAGAAATGATTTGTGGAAAACTATTATTTGCTTATAATAATTTTCTTTTAATATTTTTAACATCAAAATTGTATTGCTTTATGAATTATAAACAAAAAATCATTAATGTTAAGTGATAGTGTAGCGAAATCAAGCATAAAAAGGGTAAAATAATTGTGATGACAATTGTGCTTAATATTGATGTACGTGTGGCTGACTATAATTCATTGTTTAGTAATTTTTGTTTCTATCTCCCCAGCAAGATCACTTTCTTCCATTTTTCTCAATGAATCTATCAGTTGCTTCCAAAAATGATTAATTACTTTATCTTGTTTTTTCAGCCAAGAAGTTAGCATCTTTATTAGACAATCTTGTACCTTTTCTTCCTCACTTTTAATATTGTCTAGTGTTATATAATTGATGCCCAGTTTTAAACCTAATGCCTTCCATCGATTAAATGAGTTTGATGACAATCCAAATGCAACATTCAAATGACAAATACCTGCAATATTTATCATAATACACATAATCACATATGGTAATACACATGGGCATAAAATTAACCCAAAAAATAATCTATTTATAGTTTGAAACCAACAACCCTACAGGGGCTTGTTTGAATTCATTTTATAGGTTCGCTGAAATCCAATAAAAGGCTCAGCCCTACACTAAATAATAATTATTTTTAAATTTTTGTCCTAGTATATAGATATTCACAACCTACTGGTATCTGTACTGACCTGGAGTTTCTAGAGGCTGCCAAGCTATAAGTACAGAACCAGCCCTAGATGATAG